AAAAAAAAAAAAAAAAAAAAAAAAAAAAACAGACACACCTGAGAAACACTCCTCTCATCTGTGTTTGAGGCCAAACTACTAATTCTAAAATCAAATTTCTTACTGAGCCTCACTTTCCAAGTAACCTTTTAACCTCATAAAAGTCAGCTGAATTCCTTTTAGCTAAATGCTCACAAAGGAGGGCACAGCCGCTATCCAGAAATGCACACAGGCAGCCATGAGATGGCCCACCTGGCTCAGTGCTCCAGCCCCTCTCTAAACTCTCAGACACAAACGAACACATGGAACACGGGAAACACCAGCAATGCAAAACCATCACTGGAGATCTTTTCACTGGGAGCTGACCTAAGTTCCTGAACTCAACTGAAATAATTACAAGGGGCTCTCATCAAAGTATTTAATAAGGTGTATTTTTTTAAACCTAAAATCTTAAATATTTACTTTATGAAATACTAAGGATAAATGCAGAGTTCTTGAGACATAAAGAAATGGTATAAAATCCTCCAGCAAATAAAAGCAACAATCTCCAGCAACGTCAAAGTACACTTCCTACCCAGTCACCAAGGACTTCTGCTTCTCCCTAACGCCCGCGTTTCTGGTGCAGACGTGGTGGCTGCGAGTGAAAAAGGACACCCTGCCCGCTCCTGCCAGTTCAGCAATGAAGCCGTGCCCCAGGGACGCCTCGCCACACGCCCCACCACGACGTGGAGACGCTTTACCTGCGCCAGCTCTTTCACAATGTTCTTCTGTTTTTCCACTTCTTCCTGGAGCTCGGCCATTTTCTTCCTGATGTTGATGTTCGTCTCCTCCAGACGTTTAATTTCTTCTTCCTGCCTCAACACTTGTCTATCTGCCGACTCTTTCTGTAGAGCCAATTCATTAAATTCATCCAACTTTTCTCTCAACTTTTGTTGTAACAACTCAACCTAAAACAACAAAAAATGCTTGGGGAATACAATAGCCTGTTTTATAAAAACCCATCTTCCAAACAAAAAAGTACCCAAAACAATAGAAAACAGATGCCCTGGCCGGGTGCGGTGGCTCAAGCCTGTAATCCCAGCACTTTGGGAGGCCGAGATGGGTGGATCACGAGGTCAGGAGATCGAGACCCTCCTGGCTAACCCGGTGAAACCCCGTCTCTACTAAAAAATACAAAAAATTAGACCGGGCGCGGTGGCTCAAGCCTGTAATCCCAGCACTTCGGGAGGCCGAGACGGGCGGATCACGAGGTCAGGAGATCGAGACCATCCTGGCTAAC